ACACACACACACACACAAACAATACCCTCGTTGGGCTGGGCAACAAAGTAACCTCTCACTTCTAACAAATATATTTTTTGCTATACTCAGTTATGATATGGGTTGAGGTAAAACATTGACCTCTTTCAAACCTCTAACAGTTTCATTTAAAAGATAGTCGTAGTCATAAGTTCTGCTCTGAGTGTTTCATATGATTTATAAAAAATAAACCATGTCTGTTAAAGTGATATCAAAAAGCCACGAGACTAACTGAAGGACCAAATTTCACTTGGACATTTTATTTTCTACTCCATAAAACATGTTATAAAACAAGATACAACGTATTGATTATATAAAGGTTATAAAAGGGTACTTATGTGTCACTGGGATACTAAAGTGAAGGCAGCTAGCCTACAGCCTTCACCTTCAACTCTTGAGTTTTCCTTATTTTTTGATTGGTCACTGGGATTTCATCGTCATTCTTGTAGCATACTTACATGCCCCAATTTGTGGAGCACAGTTTTTATGGAAACGGGGCACAAACCATGGATTCTCAGATTCGCAGTGTGCGCTTTATAAGAATGACATTTAAATTCCTTCATTCCTTTAAAAGTTGCAGTGTGGGAGGTGGTTGCTACTGACTGGTTGTAATTCTTATAGCACACTCACGGTTCCAAAGTGCGGAACGCGGTTTTTAAGGACGAGACGCAAACCGTGGACCCTCGGATTCGTAATGGGTGCGTTATAAGAGTGTCAGTATATTCCTTCATTCTTTTAAAAGTCGAAGTGTGTAAGGTGGTTCCTGCTGATTGATTGTAATTCATATAGCTTACTCGCAGCCCTAATGTGTGGAACAGGGTTTTTACAGAAACGGGATCTTCTGATCTTCTGATTCGCAAATGAGCGCATTATAAGAGTGACAGTAAATCTCGCTATTCATTTAAAATTAGTCGTCTAGGAGATGATTGCTGCTGTCTTGTTGTCCCCCATCTGGTCAGCAGTTCTAAACTAGGAACAGCTAGGCCTAAGCCTTGAGGATTCTGTCCTAATCGTTTGGCTGCTGTGTCTAATAAGATGGAACTTAGGTGGAAATTACGAGATATCAGAAGAACGAGCGAGATTCGAAACCGCGGCTCTGCTAACTAATTTAACTACCGTTTCTTGTAAACCGTAATCTATCATCTAACTTTATTGAATATTATATTTTTAAATACAAACTTCATCTAACCAACGTTCATAATAAAATAAATACATAACAGCAAGTTCGTTACATCACTTCATTGTTTGTTTTGTTTGTTTTTTGAATTTTCGCGCAAAGCTACACGAGGGCTATCTGCGCTAG